GGGCAGCGTCTTATAAGCGGATCTGATGGGCGCCGCCTGATCCCTCGAAACCGGTATACTTATGTAAAAGAGGCGAGAATGAGCTGCGTTATTAGCGCTTGACTTGATCTCGTGTGTCTGACAGCAGCGACCCTCCTCTCGCCGTCATCTCTGCTTTTTCCTCCGCCTCTCTGCGACGATGGCAAAGGGTGGATCGTTGATCACGCCCTTTCTGCTCGCGGGCAAGGCTGCAGACACAGGTCAAGATGCAGACGAGCCCCAGCGACCGCACTCCTCCAATCCCTCCAGGATGTCGACCTCCGCCATATTTCCCAGTCTAAGAAAACTAGAAACTACGACCACGGAGTCCACACCACGGCCAAGTATGTCTGGCCTCAGCAGGTCCAAATCCGCCGCCGGCTCCTCTACCACTGTCTCCGGATCATCCTCCCCATATGGGACGCCCATCGTCTCCCTCAAGCTGTCCGGCCCGTCGTTCTTGGATGTCGTCGTGAAGGACGGTGTCACGAAAGAGCCTCTGTATATCATGGAAACCGTGAGGAGCAGCACGTTCCTCTATCGCTTGGATGGCAGGACCCACGAAGCCCTCAAGGCGGCGACGGTACAATGGCCCCAGCGCGTCTCGAAGAGCAGGAACTCTGGGAGGACCGTGCAGATGCACAACGGCCGCTGGCATGACACGGAGGAGTTTCTGAAGTTTGGCACTTTGACCAATTTCCTGTATGTCTCGCTGCTACTTCTACATTGCGCATCGCCGCACAGACCGGCCGTTCGCATGCTCACAACTGCGCCTCTAGGAACCGCAGGTTCTACTTGCCTCATTTTCCCCACCCTTTGAAATGGAAGCCTGCGCCCAACAGTACTTTTCATGTAAGCGACCACGTTGGTTTGGGCGTTGACAGTATACTGACCAATAACTACCTCATTACCGCAGTGTACAACGCAAGGCATCAAGGGTCCCGTTGCAATACTAGAGCCTGCCTATTTAAATGCGCCTCCTCGTATCCGTGTTTACCGCACACTGAATGACAGCGGGGACCCAGAACGAGAGCAGCAAGAATACCATGGTGTTCCGGTCGTACTGCTCGACTATCTGCTGACCACTTCCCTCCTACTTGTTACTGAGTCGCAAGAGTGGCTGGATCGGAAGTCCAACGAGAGCGGCGCGGTCAAGATCCCAGGAAGCTCTTCATTCGCCGTCAAGAAATGGCTGGCCATCATCCACAACGAACCGCTGCCTCCGTCCCCGGTATGTGAGTCCCCCATGACTGCGATGACTTCGACAGGGGAAGCGTGGGACTTCCGCAGCAGAAACCGTATCTCGGGCGCGTCTTCTTCCGTCGCTGGCTCAAGTTCGAGTGACCCCATGACACCCGTCACGCCCGCGACGTCCACCCACTCCGTCGCAAACCACAGAGACTCCGATATCCCTCCAGTACCACCTATCCCCGAGAACGCGCGAGCCCGCCCCGCGAACATCGAGACGGCCTCGTACCTCGATGTATCTCGTCCGTACTCGGCCATGGGCGGGGGTACTTCTTCCGGAGAGGTCTCCCCCTCTGCGTCAATCCCGGGTCCGTCATCAGCGCCCATCAATGGATCGCATGCCCAATCCCGCACACAGTCCTCCCGCCCGCTGCCACGCCCGCCTGTCAAACCAGTTGGCGCGGCATCGACACTGCAACCTCCGCCCAGTCCTGGCCCTTCCAATTCTGTACCGGACCAAACTCTTCCGATCATTTCCTCGCATGGTCCTCAACCTCCTACAGCGCCCGAACGCCCGCCCACCCCTTCTTCATCCTCAACCTCGTCGGGCACTGCGTCGCGCCGATCGTTTACCGCCCGCAGGTCTCTGACAGTGGCAAATATCCCAGCAGCAGGTCCTCCACCGTCAGCGTCCCTCCCCCTTCCGCCAAAACTCGCGGACGAGCTCACCAGACACATTTCGCCGCTGCATCGAGCAACACAGCCTGAATCAGGCGACAACGCGGAGGAAGGCAGGACGGGCGGCTTGCAGCTGATGAACCCTGACCCGCTCGCACCAGAAGAAGAGGCGAGGCTCAGGGAGCAGATGCGCCAGTTGACGCTGTCTCAACCGTCTCCGTCTCCGTTCGTGCAAGGCTCCAGCGGCGGCACGTTCATGCCTTGGATGACCGCACCGATGTCCACGGGCCCTATGGTCGACGCTGGACTAATCACCCTTTCGTCAGCGGCGTCGAGGAGGCGGTCGTATGCTGAGACAGTATACGAACAACCACCCCCTGCATACGACGCCATAGACTTCACGCTGCGCGCGCCGAATACGCGTCGGTAGGCGGACATGGCCTAATGCTGGTTTACTCTCTTACCTCTCAATGGAACGGCTCGCGGGCCCTCGTGATAACTCGAAGACTGCGCGCTATATAGCTTACGTTGCTCATCTAATTTGCACTCCTGGAATCGTCGCTCTTTCCTTGTTTTCCTCACACCAATTTGCTCCCCGGACACTCACACTCACGGTTTCGCTTCCTTTCTACCCACAATCTTGTCTTGTTCTGCCTGCAACACGCTCTTTTCTCCGATCTCTCGCACATCTCACGTCTGCTCAGTATGTCCATCTATCCCTCGTATCTTTCTTCATCTTCTTCGACTAGTACTAGTTGCTGGAGCTTGCTCCTACCGAGTCGCACTCCGGCATTTTATCTCACCCGCACAGGTTGTCGTGTTCAAGTTGTCAAAGTACCATACCTAAAGTACCGGTAGAAATTTCTTGTAGCTATATTAATCTTCGAATACTTGCCAGCGTCCTGTTTGTAATACTTTTTAGCTCGTCGCATTCGTTTATCTCAGTAATACTCGATGGTGTCGCGGTGACTGACTTTGCCACTTTGCTGGAGAGTGCATCCCTGAGGATGAGCGTCAAAGCTCGACTTTGCCCCTTTGAGATGAGGATCGCGGCCGCATAAGGAAAGCACTCTCCTCTCGACCATCACAATCACTGGGTCGTTTCAGCCTCCGAACTCAGCGAATCAGGTGTACGGCCAGGGACGATGTGCAGTTACTTGTATGAGCTGCCTACGACGGGTGCGATCGCGTTCTCCGACTTTCTGCATGACCAGGACGCGTCGTACATCTCCGATATTGCGGACGCCACGGAAGCCAGGGCGAATCTCCGCGTTGCGCTCAAGGAAAGTAAGCGCGATAATGAGAAGGATTACTTGAGACTTGTAAAGGTATCTTGAATACGGACTGAGCCGTATGCCGCGAACTAAACCATGCGTTTAGCTTTTGGATGATTACATTCCCAAGCTCTGCGGGGTGATCGCTGCAGTGAAAGCCGGGGAACTGGTCCTCAAATCAGAGCCCAGTGAGTCTGCACAGCTACGACGACCTCCCAGCTATGAACCAAACTCGTAGTATTCAGCTGGCGCACGACGCTCTCATCAACGCTCTTTAATACCTCGCCGCGGCTGTCCGTCCCATCCCTCGCCGCGGAACTAGGCTTCACGCTCCTCACGTACGCCTTTGCGGTGTCTAACCTCGCCCGGGCGGTCGTGACCTCTCTTGGAATGTACGAGACGGAGCGAGGGATCTCGGATGCGGATCGACGGGCGAAAGACGAGCGGCTCGGATTCGCCGTGACCCTGCTATGTAAGGTCGCAGGCGTGTACGAGTTCATCGCGAAGAACGTCGTCGCGGAATGGGAGGCCGCGAGGGACAAGGCCGTCGCAGGTGGCATGAACTGCCCGAACCCCCCAGATCTCAGCAGAGAGGTGCTCATCGGACTCAGCAAGTGCGTTGCCTTCACGACCTCTCGGGCTAGCGGGAGTTTCTGACCGTGCTAGTACGTAGGTTGGCTGTGGGAGACGCACAGAACCTCGCCGTGCGGAAGCTGCTGACCCGCGCCGCGTTCGATAACACGGTCAGCCCTGGCCCTCCACTGCCCAAGTCACATCCCTCTCCCGCACTCGCGGCGAAGCTGCATCTCGAATGCGTTGCGCTGTATTCCTCGGCGCGCGCCCTTGTCAAAACTCCGGGAGCCTCTCGGCCGTCTGCATCGCACCAGTCGTCGTCGCGGTCGAAATTCAAGCTCCCGGGGAAGGGAGAGGGAGCGTCGTCGAATAGGGATGACTCCTCAAGTGACGAAGTCGTACCCGAGCTGCGGCGGTACCTGGCAGACGAGATCGCCATCCACAACGCCCTGGCACACAAGTGGCTAGGGGTTGATTCCGGGGAGACACATCAAGGGACAGGGACCGCAGTTGGGTTCTTGCTGTGGTCGAAGAAGGAACTGGAGGAGGTCAAGGGCGGTGGGAGCTCGACAGGACTCAATATAAATATCTCGTCGGATAGGGAGAAGACCATGCGCGAGGCGAGGAAAGCGAGGGTGCAGGACGAGATGGCGAGTGTTGGCGTGTTCTTGCAGGGGTACAAGCGCATGAACGACTCGGTGCGTTTTCGCGTACATTGACCTGAAGCTACAGACCGTTGAACTACGATGCAGATGGCCTTCCAGCCTATACCTCCGCAATCTGACCTCCAAGCAAAGATTCCTGCGGGTCGATTGGCGGTAGCACTTCGGCCATACACCCAGCCCGTTCCTGCCTTTGGCCCCGGCTCAGTGGCATATTTGCAGCAGAAGGCCGAAGAGCTGGAGCTGTTGCAGAAGGATGGGGCTGGAGAGGACTCACCGGCCGTGTCCACTCCGGTTGTCGCTGGGAATGATTACAGTGCTGAACAGCCGTATTATTGAAGGTCGCTCTATACGATGGATATTTAGGACGGGAATTGTACATTAGTACTAACAGCTGTGCGTGTATGATATGTATCTGTAGTATTGTATTGCGACGAACGGCTCGAAGACGACAGGGATATCATGCAATTTCTCCATCGCAGTGCCATGAGAGTGTAGAACAAACCGGTTTGTTTCAGTTCATTTTTCCAGCATGCTTGCTGTTTCGCTGCTGTATGTGCTACAGAAGGTAAAGTGCACATAATGTATAGATATGCGGTACTAATATGGCCGCCTGGCGAAATGGCATCGCGTCTGACTACGATTCGTTGTTATCAGGAGATTGCAGGTTCGACCCCTGCGGTGGTCATTTTTGTGCTTTTTGATACCAAATATCGCACGTGCGATCTGGACCGTGTTTGCTATCGTCATTTACAACCACCACCACCACCATCAAAGTCAAAGCTGCTCTCTGTTAATGTACATCGCGGGCACCTCTACAGAAAGTATATCTAAATCATTCTCGTAGTGCATCAACGACCGCTGCCTTCACAGCATCCATGTGCAGGCGCAGGCTGCTACGTCCAGAAAGCGGAAAACGACTTGCCCGCGCATAACGCCAAGCTTGTTTGTCACCGGATGCTCTTCCGACAACAACGAAGAATAGTCCGGCTTTGTACGGTTGTAGAAGACCGTTTGCTTAAGCTGGTCGACGCTATGGCTTGAATATAACGACGGAGCCCTTGGGGAACGGCGTCCACCTCCTTGGGACGAGTATTCAATATCATACAGTAACGCCAGAAAGTGGAATTTGGGGGGGTGCATCACTTTCTGGCGTTACTGTAGTATATAGGCATGCGGTCTTGCATTCTGAAGCCTACGATTGTTGCCTTGAACCCATCCTGGATGTCCTCAGTGAGTAGTCGATGTTTGCTCCATTTCCTTCATGCGTCCCCTCTTACCGACGTTTCAGCCCTTGTATCCACCACGGAAAGCCTCGATGAGCCGCAAAACACCGCAGCCAACCAGTGGTGACGCACCTACCGTATCCCCACTATTCAACGACAATGACGCAGACGTCATCATACGCACTAGCGACAACGTCGACTTCCGTGTCCACAAACTTATCCTCAAGCGAGCTTCCTCGGTCTTTGACGACATGTTCAACGTACCAACGACAGTCCATGCAGAGGAGATTCAAACAGTCGTTGTCACAGAGGACGGCAGCACTCTCACCAAACTCTTCCAACTCTGCTACCCAATGAGCGGCCCCTCCTTCGATAACATCCAGCAAATCGGCAAGTTGTTGCGCGTGTGCGACAAATATCAAATGGTCGATATGATGAACCGGCTAGCAAAGCTCAGCTTAGGAGCTTTCATGCAGAGTGATCCCCTTCAGGCCTATGCTCTTGCATGTTGCGCTCGAGCGGATGAAGAAGTCAGGAAAGCCGCCTTCTATTGTCTCGGAAAGTCACTGTCGGAAATCATCAACGGTGGTATCTCCGGAATCCCCCATATCACTGTCCCTTCCTACCATGCGTTGTTGAAGTATCACCACGCCTGCTCTAGAGCCGCGCAAGAAACAATTACCTCGTGGACATTCTCCTCATGGGTCAAGCCGACAGCTTCCACTCGCACATACTGCTGGCTTCGTGAGAAGTTCGACTTATATAACAATAAGCACTCAAACTGTCCGTTTACCGAAACTAAGGTGGACTGGGATGGCGCCTCACTGCGAGTATACAAGTGGTGGGAGGTCTACATGAAAAACATCGCAGAAACATTCTCGGAAGCATATCCTCCGTCTCCAGTGGGCCCCCTTCACGTCAGAATGGCGTTGCCGCCACCTCCCGATTGCGAATACTGCAAGGCCCGATATGCAGAGGATTTATCGATCTTTTTGCCTCAACTGAAATGGCGGATTGATTCACAGATAGCAAAGGTGAGCAACACCATTATATATGTATAACGCGGTCCTTATCACTATGCGTACGCACACCAGGTGAAGCTGGAGTTGGCTTATTGAGGTGCATAGCGGTAGGATTAGAATGGGAAGTATCCCCGTGAAATTGCTGTAGTAACTGTTGGTACGGCATGAATGTACAATCCTCGCTTAACAATGACTACTTTCTCGTACCCATTGGCGCAGAAACTGTGTCCCTAGTAGCAGGTTAGCCATGCGGCTGCCTGATGGTATCACGCCTGCGTGAGGTTAGGTTGGCGCTGCTTGATTATCGAGTCTGCCATCCACCACGCTGTACGATGTCGCAGTCCACTTGCATACCGCCTACCAAATCCCCACTGTTCGATAGCGATGATGCGGACATCATTTTGCTCTCCAGCGATAACATTGAATTACGCGTCCACAAACTTATCCTCGGGCGGGCTTCCTCCGTCTTCCACGACATGTTCACTGTACCCACGACAGACCATGCAAAGGGGATTCAAACAGTCCCTGTTACGGAGGACGGCAGCACTCTCACCAAACTCCTCCAGCTCTGCTATCCAATGATCAACCCCTCCTTCGACAATATCAAGCAAGTCGGCGATTTGTTGCGCGTGTGCGACAAATATCAAATGGTCGATATGATGAACCGGCTAGCAAAGCTCAGCTTAGGAGCTTTCACGCGGAGTGATCCCCTTCAGGCCTATGCTCTTGCATGTTGCTCTCGAGCAGACGAAGAAGCCAGGAAAGCCGCCTTTCATTGTCTTAGAATGTCACTGTCGGACATCATCAGCAGTGGTATCTCCAAATTCCCTTATATCTCCGTCGCTTCGTATAGTGCATTGTTGAAGTATCACACCGCCTGCTCCGTAGCTGCCAGAAAAATGATAATCTCGTGGAACGGTCCGTCGTGGGGGATCACTTGGGCAGATTTCACGAGGTTCTGTTGGAATCCCGATATCGCACACAAAAACTGTCCGCGGGGCAAGATTATCTTCAAATGGGAGGTCAGGCAGAGTGTTGTTCCGTCGAGAAATTTGAGCAAGTGGTGGACCGACTACATCGAGGATATCGCAGAAACATTCACAGACGTCAATCTTCCGGTTCTAAGTGACCACGTCACTCCCGCAGGACTGGCATTGCCGCCACCTCCCGATTGCGACTACTGCAAAGATCGATATGCACAGGATTTGTTCATATTTTTGCCTCGACTGCAAAAGCAAATTGGTTCAGAGATATCAAAGGCGAGTACTATATACTGCGTGTCAAATCTGAATCTCATCGCTATGGGTATGACACCGTATGATCGCCAGGTGAAGCTGGAGGTGGTCTATTGAGCTCCATTGCGTTAATGTGGGATGGGTGAAAGAACTGTAGACTTAGCTGGTAGCCCATTGTACGGGATCAATGTTCGTTTCTTGCTGAACGATAGCTATATTTGGCCGCGAGCGATGTTCACAAGCGCCACAAAGCCAACCTGAACTTAGGGCTTCTAAGTCACGGTGAGATTGCGTATGCGCTCATCGCGGCGGCAGCTGAGGGTCGAGTCATATAAAACAAACCCGCAAATTGTGGTAGCCATCCTGCCTGTTGAGCCAAAACCACCTCGATGGCGTTTACGAATTCATACATAGCAGATACTCCAGGAGACCTCACAGCATACTCCAATTTCGGCCCAGACCCATATGACATCCACTTCTGCATCCCGCTAGACTTCGCGACGCTCGAAACAGACAGAGTCAAGCTCGTCCCGTTCATCCCGCGTCTGTACGCGCAAGCGTACCTCGAACACACCCTGCAGCACCGCGCCCTCAACGAGTGGTATTCCGCCAAGCCGCCCAGCTCGCTCGGCGAGATGCTCTACCTGCTCGAGACCCTCCGCGCAGACCCTACCTACGTGCCGTTCGCTATCATAGACAAGGGTCGCCCAGACGCGGCGCATCCGGAGTGGGAAGGCAGCTTCGCGGGCTTCATCGCGCTCACGAACGTCTCTGCGCAGAACCTCGCGGCGGAGGTCGGCAGCGTGCGCATCTTCCCTGCGTTCCAGCGCACGTACGTCACCTCAACGGCCGTCGCACTGTTGCTGCGGTATTGCCTGGAGGTACCGGGTGCGAAGCCTGTGTCTGGGTTGGGTCTGCGACGCGTGCAGTGGGGAGCAACGAAGGGGCATGAGGCGTCGATCAATGCGGCGCTGCGGATGGGGTTCAAGCGGGAGGGGATTATACGGTGGCATAAGGTGGTCTATAATGAGGACAAGGAAGGACCGGAGCCTAGAGCAGGCGACCCGATGCCAGAGAAGCGAAGGTCGGACACGGAGATGTTCTCATTCTGTGCGGATAATTGGGAGGATGGAGGTAGGGAGAAGGTCCTGGCTCTGATGGAAAGGAGGGTTTGAGGGAGTGTGTCGGGGCGGTCCCGCGAGAGGTGACAAGGTCTAAAACCTGGTTCGACATTAAGTTTCTCGACAAGTACGCACCTTCCGTGATACGTATGAACACGCACGACGAAAAGCAGTATATAATCAATTGAGATGTGGATATCTTGTACTATACATGTGTGTTGCTGAGTGATATTGGTATATTAGGGTATCTGGGTGAGAAACACGGGGATCAACAGTTACAAGCTACATTTCGAAAGAAAATACCTTCGCACAAAAAGCCGCTACACGGTGCAGGGACCTACAACTCCATTCGTACATCTTCATCGAGCATATCCTCCGAGCAAAGCCTTCTCCTGCCTTGGTCCCATCGGCGCAGGTACTCTGCGCATCGCTCACCAAAGACAACAAGACCGTCCAAAAAACCTTTTGGCAGCGAGTCTTTCCTTTGCTCCCAGGGCTTGACATCAACGCTTGTGGCTCGATCCAAGCAGACGAGTATCATGCCGAAGCTGTACGCGTCTGCTAGTAGCGCGTCCTGACATTCTCCTCGGAGAACCTCGGGGGCACAGAACGGGCGCGTCCCAGGGTGAATTTTCTCGACCTTGCGGTTGAGCGAATGGGAGAGGGGTACAGGAATGGGTGCAGAGGACCCGAACCGGGAATTCATGCGCATTGGGGGCGGCGGAGGCGGAGGTTCGAGGTTTTCGTCAGGGGCTACGTAAGTAGAGTCTGCGGAGACCGATCGACCAAAGTCGAGCAGTTTGATAGTATTGAACGGTCGGGTGACCTGTATGTTCAGCAGCGAGAGGTCGCCGTGGCTGAGTCCGAAGGAATGCAGGTGGGTGAGCCCGTCAAGGAGCTGATTGTGAAAGTCGATTTTCTGCTTGCGCGTCATCAGTTCCGGTTCTTTCGAGATGACGTCCCACAGCGTCCGGCCCTCAATGTATTCGAGCACCATACCGACATTCTCCAGCGAGCCGAGGAACGCAGCGATGTTCCTGTGCCGGGTTACGGTCGTATACACGCGCAGCTCAGCGAGGAACTG